ATGTAGTAACAGCAGAGGAGACAACAACACGTGACAACGTAGCAACAGCAGAGGAGACCACTTGTGACAACATGTAGTAACAGCAGAGGAGACAACACATGACAACATGTAGTAACAGCAGAGGGAGACAACATGACGTGACAACATGTAGTAACAGCAGAGGAGACAACACGTGACAACATGTAATAACAGCAGAGGAGACAACACGTGAAAACATGTAGTAACAGCAGAGGGAGACAACATGATGTGACAACATGTAATAGCAGAGGAGACAACAACACGTGACAACATGTAGTAACAGCAGAGGAGGCAACACGTGACAACATGTAGTAACAGCAGAGGAGACAACACGTGACAACATGTAGTAACAGCAGAGGAGACAACAACACGTGACAACATGTAGTAACAGCAGAGGAGACAACACGTGACAACGTATAGTAACAGCAGAGGAGACAACACGTGACAACATGTAGTATCAGCAGAGGAGACAACATGACATGACAACAGGTAATAACAGCAGAGGAGACAACACGTGACAGCATGTAGTAACAGCAGAGGAGACTACAACACGTGACAACATGTAGTAACAGCAGAAGAGACAAAACACGTGGCGACAAGTAGTAACAGCAGAGGAGACAACATGACGTGACAACATGTAATAACAGCAGAGGAGACAACATGAAGTGACAAGATGTAATAACAGCTGAGGAGACAACAACACGTGACAACATGTAGTAACAGCAGAGGGAGACAACATGATGTGACAATATGTAATAGTAGAGGAGACAACAACACGTGACAACATGTAGTAACAGCAGAGAAGACAACAACACGTGACGACATGTAGTAACAGCAGAGGAGACAACAACACATGACAACAGGTTGTAACAGCAGAGGAGACAACATGACGTGACAACATGTACTAACAGCAGAGGGAGACAACGTGACGTGACAACATGTAGTAACAGCAGAGGGAAACAACATGACGTGACAACATGTAATAACAGCAGAGGAGACAACATGATGTGACATGTTGTAACAGCAGAGGAGACAACAACACGTGACAACATGTAGTAAAAGCAGAGGAGACAACAACACGTGACAACATGTACTAACAGCAGAGGAGACGACAACACGTGACAATAGGTACTAACAGCAGAGGAGACGACAACACGTGACAACATGTACTAACAGCAGAGGGAGACAACGTGACGTGACAACATGTAGTAACAGCAGAGGGAGACAACATGACCTGACAACATGTAGTAACAGCAGAGGGAGACAACATGATGTGACAACATTTAATAGTAGAGGAGACAACAACACGTGACAACATGTAGTAACAGCAGAGGAGACAACAACACGTGACAACATGTAGTAACAGCAGAGGAGACAACAACACGTGACAACATGTAGTAACAGCAGAGGAGACAAAAACACGTGACAACATGTTGTAACAGCAGAAGAGAAAACACGTGACAACATGTAGTAACAGCAGAGGAGACAACATGACGTGACAACAAGTAGTAACAGCAGAAGAGAAAACACGTGACAACATGTAGTAACAGCAGAGGAGACAACATGACATGACAACAGGTAGTAACAGCAGAGGAATCAACAACAAGTGACAGCATGTAGTACCAGCAGAGGAGACAACAACACTTGACCACATGTAGTAACAGCAGAGGAGACCACATGACATGACAACATGTAGTAACAGCCGAGGAGACAACAACATGTGACAACATGTAGGGTTCTGTGGAGGTTTGCTGCTGCTGTTTCCTGACTAATTGTTTTGCAGTTCATTGAGAGTTCGGTGGGCGGAGACTGGATGGACTCACCTGTGCATTGTCTGCTCTGATTAGTCCTGAGAGTATTTCAGTTGCCTTCTGAAATCCATCCGACGCTGGATTATTCAGTTGCCCATGGTACTGTTTAAGACGGCCTCAGTTTAATTCTTTGAGAAAACTGATTAACCCTTGTTGTATTTTCTTTTCTACACCTACCTTGTGTTCAGGCTGGACCGTCCTGATCCCCCTGGTGACTCCACGAAATCTGCAAAAGACATATTGGAAATTACCTGTGTTTGATTCCCAACAAAGAACCTCTACAAACCTCCTCGTCCTGGTCAGCCTCCTCGCCTGGATCCTGTAAGAAAACTACAATTAACACATTCAACAACTTCAAAACACTTACCAGAGAACATCATCCTAAACCGCCTTTTCCTTTGTTTTCAGCAAGAAACTTGAACCCATTCACTGTACAATAAACTCACTTACCTTTTATCATTTTTGTCTTGTCCTGTGTTCCTTACCAGTTAAGTTAATTTTGGGTACTCTTTAAAAGAACAACAAAGAACTAATCGTAACATTGACAAGAAAAGTGAAATAGAAATTGACAATCTCCTATTTAATTTTGTTTGGGAAAAATAAGACTCGTTATATAAAAAAGCTACTCTAATGAACTCGTATGAAAACGGAGGTCTTAATTGTCTATCATTCTCCTCTTTGAACAATACAATACTTTTAAGTTAAATTGCATTCGTCAGTTTTTTAAGTCTCCATCTTCTTTTTGGAACATTATACCATTCCATATTTTTTCTAAATTTGGTGGTCTGAATTTCTTTTTAGTTTGTAACTTTGATATAGCAAAACTTCCAATCAAACTCTCCA